TAATATACGACTAAAATCGTCATTGGCAGTGAACGGTTGTATTTAAAATGACGACTTTAGTCGTCAATGGCAGTGAATGAGTTAATCAGCTGATGCGCACCAGCTGCCCTGTAGGGTGCAGCAGCAGGCCAAAGGATTCCAGATAATGGCTCCCTCTGGTGGGGGAATTTGGCTGGATCATGGGGTTCACCTCACAGGATGAACAGAGGTATAAACTCATCAGCCCAAATACAGGGGGCTGTAACATGAGTGTGAATTAATCTCATCATAATTTTAAAAAAATATATGGTGAGCCATAATAATTTTTGTCAGGCGTATTTTTTCGTTTCTCTGAGCAGAGACTGTCTAAACGTCATGGTAGAAAATGGTTTGCATTTTGCAAAAAATCATGTTGATGAGTTTATTTTAATTATTCCAACAAGAAGAATATAAATGCCAGAGCAGGTCACTACAAGCCCCACAGACGGGAGGGGGGGCATTGTAGTTGTAACCTTTTTCCACACCCCGAGTTTGCAGGTAAGATACCACCAGCGTCATTAGCAGTCTTACTGTATTTACGCTTATCCTTAGCCAGCAGTTTCAGGTAGGATTTAATGTCGCCCGCTCTGGCCCCAGGTAAACATTTGACTATGGTTGCTGGAGTCTCTAATGCCACGTTTCTGACTATGGAGCTGCCAATTACCAGAGTTGGGTTGTCAATGGGTGCGTCACTGATTGACCCCAGCAGGGTGTAAAAAAATCCGGTCACAATCTATTTTTATCTGTCAATGTTTACTGCAGTTACGTTAATCACTTCAGACAAAAAGTTGGGTTGGGCATCGTTTGAATTTGAACGATTCCCCTGTTTCAGTTCCAGTTCCTAACGATTCCTGATTCTTTCAAGGTCAAAAACATTACATTTTTCAAATGAGCCAACTAACCACAGGTCCTACTTGAACTTTAATTCTATGAACTGTAGTGATCTGTATTTTGTATATTTATACACTGTAATTAGATCTAAATATAATCAGAAGTGGTTGTTTTTATCATCAGGGAGTTTACTTAAACACCTTGTATTGACTGAGAGACAAGAAAAGAGAGAGTTGGGATCGTTTAAGAATCTTTAATTTCTATAATTATAAATTCTTACAATCTACCAGGACTAACTCTGTGATGGATGTATATGGATTTGGATGTTTCGTGTTGGTGTGTGTGTGTGTGTCAGAATCTCTAGGCTGACGTAGCGAATCTGGTTGTTATGACTAGGAACCACGAGGCTTCAGAAGCTGATGACATGAGCAGCCATTTTGCCGTAACCACGTACCATGTGGAGCCTCCCGTCTTGATCAGGAATTGCCAGGTCCTCGGACCTTCAGGTGTACTGGAGCTGGTGAAACAGCGGTCGCAGCACTACAAAGCCCGTCTGCGGGTCGACTCCGGTAGCAGCGGCAGGCGTCAGCGAGTTCACTCTTATTTTGAAGGGACGTCGTCTTGTTGTTCAAACGACAGAAATCTCCAGCTTGACAGTTCTCAGCTTAAAGTAGAAAGTGCATCTGGCCAGGCTGCACCTCTCTTTTGCGGTGATGGATCGAGAGCTGGTTGAAAACTAAGTTGAGAGTATGATGTAATTCCTTCGGAACTCGGATCGAACAGAGCTGAGGTTAAAATGGAACTGAGTATAAAATGGTGTTGCCTTGTTTTATATCCCCTAGTTGTTTACAAATCTTAGTAAACCGGATTGGACAACTTCATTAAACAACCCAGATTCTGCCCTACGACAGACGAAAGTTCTGATTGGTTGAGAACAATGTGTCATGCGTTTCCATGTTAATGTAGATCAGTCTGTCTGGTGCAGTCCTGTTTATTCATTAAACACATAACTCATCTTTATTTCACAGATCATTCACCTGATTATTATTGATCAACATATGCTTTGATTAGCTTTATCACGAATAAAGTACTTTGATTAATTAAGTGAAAGCGTTCTTCTTCTGTCTCTTCTCCTGGAATGTATACATACTGAAACCAGCATCCGACCTTGGCGATTCCTACACGTTGTTACTGTGTGAAGGGGCAGCTGTTAAGGGCAGACAATAGGATCTTAACGCTACAGAACAAAACATCACCTTTATTTAGACTAAAACGTTTTCAAAAGAGAAACTAAAGAAAGCCCATCGGTGTGTTTATTTCTGGCCTGCTCACAACCAATGTGAAGAAGCCTCTAGGATGAGAAGGAAAAACGTCTTCAAGATGACCAGAAATGTCCAGCTGTTTTTATATCAAAGCTCAGGATGATCATGTCCAGGATGACAGAGAATCTTCACCTAATGCAGGAAATGTGAGCAGAACTGGAAGAGATCTAGGTCACAGCCCTCATTTGAAGACATGAGGTCTGCATGGTGTTCCTATCAAATGGCTGTAAAAAAGGCAAAATCCACTTTTTTTATCTGATATTATAGATTATATAAGCAGCGGGGCAGGAAGCAAACGTGCTGCAGCAGGCAGGATTTAAAAAATGCTCATACAATAAACGACGCGTCGACTGTTAAATTAGTCGTCGAATATTTTTTTTGTCGACGTCGTGACGCGTCGACTAGTCGTGGCAGCCCTAATAACCTGTTAAAAGCACTAGAATGTGGCAAATAACATCTGCTGACTAAAATGTTTCTTTGGGAGACCCCCAGACCAACTCCCCCATCACCTGATGTCTTCATCCTCAGAGCTGAGGACAATACTGGGACATGTGGCTGACATGTCTCAGTCTTTGTCTCTTCTCAGAGGAGCAGGAACTTGTTAGCAGAAGGTAAACAAAGGCTTTGCTACTCTGAGAGCAGGGACACGTAGAAAACATGCAGCCACTGTGGCCTTCAAGTACCAGTTCTGCTCCCCCTGTTAATGTTCAAAAGTACTGGTACTTTCATCTGCAGCAGGTTCACTTGCTGGGGAGGGTGGGTGTGTGTGTGTGTGTGTGTGTGTGTGTGTGTGTGTGTGTGTGGCTACTTTTTTCGATGTGGAGTCTGAACTTTTTCACCCTTGACCCGTTTTCATGTCTGTATTTCACGTGTCTTTAGCCCCGCCCATTAGCTTGGAGATTTCCCCGTTCCTAAGAAGTGAGTGTAAACAAAACCTACTGGTGCGTAGGGCTGTAGCGAAGCCTCGATGACGTCGATGGCTCGATTCTAAAAGCTGCCAAAACAAGTCAAAACAACAACTGAACCATTTTAAATGTAATAAACCTTTATTTTGGACTCATTCACAAACACAGTAAACTTTTCTGTTAGAGCTGTAGCGACGCAACGATGACGTCGACAGCTCGATTCTAAAAATTTGTCGACGTCAGATCATCCCCAGGAGTTTGTAAATAGAAGTGGAATCTGCCTGTTTTTCCTCTAGTTCGCCCTCTTCTCCGCCTTCACTAACATTTCCGCCAAATACTGAAGACCCGGTACAATGTCCGTCCGCTACTAGATTCCTTTCCTGTTTTGCCCGCCTTCGTCTCCCGGCAACGGACAACAACTTCCGGGGTCAAATGCGCTGCTTCGTCTCTACCGCAGATGTAGAAAATCACCGGGAGAGTTTCTCCCTTCATAAAGGAGTAGGGCTGGGGTAAACGATTATTTTTAAAACGATTATTCTGACGATTATTTTATCGAATAGTTGACTATTCTAATGACTATTTAGACAATCTAATGACTATTTTTCTATTGCAAAGTTATTAAAAACCAAAAAATCTCTAATAAATTCCTCCAAAAAAGTGATAAATTGTTACTGTAAGAGAATAAACACTGCAGGCCTTCCATTTTGTATAACACTGCTTTTATTGTGTTGGTTGGTTATGTTCTGGTGACATGTAGAACTTGGGAGTGCAGGCTGCTGCCTGAGAGGTGGTTGGAGACAGAGTGTCTCCATGCTGCTTTGTTTTGGTCACTTATGTGCGTGAGGCGAGTGGTGTTACGACTCTTCCTGGGGAGTTTGGCTCGTGTGCAAAAAGGAAGGGACAATAATACGGGATTTAAAAGTTAAAATGATGATCAGGTTTATTTACAACAACAAAAACACATAAATCTTTCCATCCACAGGTTGGGAATAATAAAACTAATTCTGCCTGTGGGGAATTAAAACAAAAGCACAAATAACTAGGGATGTCCCACTGGGCAAAGATTACTGGGTTCTGGACCAAAATAAGGATCTCCAAAGGTCCAAACTCTAAACTGGGTGGTTAAACCAAACTCAAGGTGATATTTTAAACTAAACCGAAAACCCACAACACACACAAAAACTAAAAAAGCATAAAATGGGATATTTTGCCAGACTCTTGACAAATCCAAGGCTGATTGTAAAAAAGTTTTTTCAGTCACTCAAAATATGTTTTATGAAAAATATCTCCTCGTTTGTCTGCTTTTTTCATGAAAAATGAGCATCACATAATCAAACTGGCATATAAAGGGTTAAAATTTAGATAAATATTCAATATTTGATTATTTTCGAACAGAACTGAAGTTGATCCCAAGATTTAGACCCAAAAAGCAGAAAAAAAATTAATTTGGACAATTTTTAAAGCAGTTTTAAAAGTGGACGTTTTTGTCCTCTAATGGCTTGAGTGTATATATATGTATATACACTATACTATATATATGTATATCAATGCCTTTGAGTATTCAAACTGGCATTTCAGGGGTTAAAAGCCTCAAAATGGTTGAATTTTTTTATGTTTGAGCAGGGCTGAAGTTGTTCAACAAATCTATGAAAAAAGTAAAAACAAAAAAAACATTAATGTATACATTTTTTATAGCCACTTTTACAAGCGGACGTCTTTGTCCTCTATTGACTCTTGTATGAAAATTAAAGTGAAGCCTGAGGGTTAAGGCGCATATGATTTATAGAGGCTCAAAGTTCAGTTTCCAGTTGTAAATACATTTCATTCTACTGTCAGTTTAAAGAAATAATACAACTGTTATATGTGTGAAAACACAGTTACAGCTGTCTGTAATTCACATAATATGTTTCTGTGTTTCCTACAGATTTTCAACAGGTGGTTCTGGTTAAAGAAGAAGCTTCAGAAGAACAGAGTGCTCGTGTCAACCACCAGCACCTAGATTTTCTCCACAAAAAGGAGGAACAGGAGAAACTCTGGTCTAGTATGGAGGGAGAGCATCTCCATTTGAATAAGGAGACAGATGCTGCCAGGTTTCAGTCCTTTAGCCAAAAAACACATTTAAACAAACACACGAGAGTCCAGACAAAGCAGAAACATTTTGCCTGTGAGCACTGTGGACAAAGGTTTCACCAAAAGACTAATTTAACCACACACATGAGAGTCCACACAGGAGAGAAGCCTTTTGCTTGTGAGCTCTGTGGAAAGAAATTTAGCTTAAAGTCAACTTTAAACCGTCACATGAGTGTCCACACAGGACAGAAGCCTTTTGCTTGTGAGCTCTGTGGAACGAGATTTAGCCGAAAAGGGTCTTTAGATGAACACATGAGAACCCACACAGGAAAGAAGCCCTTTCCTTGTGAGCTCTGTGGGAAAAGATTTAGTCAAAAGACAAATTTAAACAGACATATGAGAGTCCACACAGGACTGAAGCCCTTTCCTTGTGAGCTCTGTGGAAAAAGATTTAACCAAAATACGAATTTAAACAGTCACATGAGAGTCCACACAGGACAGATGCCCTTTCCTTGTGAGCTCTGTGGAACAAGATTTAGCGAAAAGACGAATTTAAACAGTCACATGAGAGTCCACACAGGTGAGAAGCCTTTTGCGTGTGAGCTATGTGGACAAAGATTTAGCCAAAAAGGGTCTTTAGATGAACACATGAGAATCCACACAGGACAGAAGCCCTTTCCTTGTGAGCTATGTGGAACGGGATTTAGCCGAAAAGGGTCTTTAGATGAACACATGAAAGTCCACACAGGAGAGAAGCCTTTTGCCTGTGGGCTCTGTGTAAAAAGATTTAGCCGAAAGACAAATTTAAACACACACATGAGAGTCCACACTGGACAGAAGCCTTTTGCTTGTGAGCTCTGTGGACAACGATTTAGCCAAAAGACACATTTAAACAGTCACATGAGAGTCCACAATAGAGAGAAGCCTTTCGCTTGTGAGCTCTGTGGTAATAGATTTAGTGAAAAGGGAAGTTTAAACAGACACATGAGAGTCCACACAGGACAGAAGCCTTTTGCTTGTGAGCTCTGTGTAAAAAGATTTAGCCGAAAGACAAATTTAAACAGTCACATGAGAGTCCACACTGGCTTTTCGCCTGTGAGTTCGGTGGAAAAGTTTTACCCAAAAGATCAGTTTAAACGGTCACAAGAGTCTATAAAGGACAGAAGCCTTTTGCTTGTGAGCTCTGTGGACGAAGATTTTGCTGAAAGAAAACTTTGAACAATCATCTAAGCATCCACTAGGGCTGAACGATCTATTGCAGGGGTCTCCAACCTTTTTTGGCCCGTGAGCTACTTTTACACAATGAAGTACAGCAGTTACTGCCATATGATTTATTTACATTGATACTTTCCATGTGTGAATGTGCTTACCGTAAATCCTCTAATACAGGCCGGTATTCAATTAAAGGCCGGGTCTCCAATTCTGGCCGGTGTCGGAGTCAGCGGAGGCAAATAATGGCCGGTCTCTTATTGTGGCCGGATGGAATGTGGTAACAAGAAAGTACGAGCGTCCCAGCGGCAGGGTTGTAGTCCCCAAATCAACCAGCAGGAGGCAGTAGAAGTTCACGCAGACCTTTTTTAGGCTTTTTCTTCAATGCTTTGTAACGCTACAGACACGATCCTCTATCACGCTCCTACCACACAGAGTCATGGTGTCAGTTAACCATGCTAATTCAATCTGCTCCACAGAACACACATCACCTTCCCTGTGGCTTACATAACACTCACACAACACGCAAATCAGCACATAGGAACTAGCAGAACAATAGGAAACACATATAACACAATACCCAGAATGCACCTGGCTTACAACCCCAGCCAGGTCATTACACTATCAAGTTCAAAGAGAACGTGCTGATTATGCTGCAGAACACTCTGGAGAGCAGCAGTAGGGGTTGTATGAACTACAGTAATCCCTCGTTTATCGCGGTAGATGCGTTCCAGACCTGGCTGCGATAGGTGAAAATCCGCGAAGTAGGGACTCCCAGCATGCCCCTCGCGGGGATTCCCTTCACGTCGCACCTACGTCACAAACCGCGGCTATAAACGGAAGTCGCCTTTCCAGCTCACCACTCAGTCATCGTTTCTTCAGATTCATGATCAGAGTTTCCAACCTACCGATCAATCCAACGAACTATCAGCTCATAGTAAGTTATCTTACTTACTTCTGGAAAGCCCGGCATTTCCGTGTAACTTCGTTGACGCTCGAATGCTCGGGGGTTTCCTAGAGCAGCCGGCGTTTCACCGACGCTATCACTTCCGCGTCTGTGAAACCACGCTCCCTATTGAATTATCGTATGATCACATTCTCTTTTTGGGGGTAAAACTCAAGTGCCAGACCGTAGGTACTGACACGCGATCGTTCATGTCGGTTCATTTCCTTTAATGTTTTCTGTCTTTTATTTGCGCCTGATGTGTATCGCTGCTGTGGAGCGGGGCGCATCAACTTGTCCTCCGACGCACAGATCACAGCAGGGAGCGCTCAGCTGTTTTCGCTGTCTGTAGATCTGCCTCCTGAGCACGGCCACAGTAACAATCAGGTGTCGCCACCTCAAAAACTAATTTAACACGCGATCGTTCATGTCAGTTCATTTCCTTTAATGTTTTCTGTCTTTTATTTGCGCCTGATGTGTTTCGCTGCTGTGGAGCGGGGCGCTGTGCGCATCACCTTGTCCTCCGACGCACAGATCACTGATACAGCCGCCAAACAGCAAGCGCTCCGCTGTTTTAGCGGTCGGTAGATCTTTTAGAACTGCAGTTCAAAGGTAACTCATGAGGTGAATATATATGAACCCAGGTAGAAGTTTTTCTTTAGGATTGAGAGGAGATGCAGGAAGATAATAAACAGACAGGACAGAAAAATAGTCAAATAAAAACAAGTTAGTTTTTGTACCTGGTTGCAACAAACAGACACCATTGAAGGTCATCAGAAGTGAGGAACAGAAAATGAAATAATTATTTTAATGTTTAGAGCAGCAGGAACTCCTAGAGGCTGCAGGCGCATCAGTGAGTTTGCGGCTGCTGCGCAGGGGGAGAGGGCTGAAGCAGGAACTACCGTTGTTAAAAGAAATGTTTAACTTTGAAAATGTGGGCGCACTTTTAATTGTCAAAAACTCCAGCGAACCATTAGTTCATTTTGCTCAAATAGAAATAGAGGCCTGCCTCTAATACTGGCCCTCCTTCCAATAAAGGCCTGGAGCTTGATGAGCTTGAGTCAAATACAGGCCCGGGCCTGTATTAGAGGATTTACGGTATGTTAAACATGCAATACTTACTATATTAACAAGCATTGTACTCACAAGTTGATTTCTCTGTATTTCAGTACATCAGTATATATATTTTTTTAAAATTATAAAAACTAATGACATTATGAAAACCAAATTAAACAAAACATATTAATTTTTTTAAACTAATCGGATACTTTCAGACAATGAATAACAAATCTAGTTCATGTGAATGATTTGATAATTTTTTTAGAAGGTTAGTAACATAATTTTTTAAGTGCACAGGAACAGCTAACCTGTAAAACTGATGATATTTCATATAAAATACAAGATAAATGTGATGAAAACACAAAAGTCTAAGTGGTTTGAATTGAAGTAAAAAAAGTAAAATCAGAATTAAGACTTGTTCCTGCTCTCCTGGTTTACTGAATCATTTTTATGGGTTTTTTTGGTGATGAAAGTTAAGTTTTGCTGCGTTTATTGCTGACAATAAGAAGGTTGGAGGTTTATCCTTTTTTTCTGCATCTTGTAGGTTTTTTTCTCCGCAGGTCTGAAGGCTGTGCGTTACACAGAGCAGAGAGACAGAGAGCAAGAGACCAGAACCAAAAGAAATGATCACATCACACCAATCTTAAAATATTTACATTGGCTTTCAGTAACTTACAGGATTGATTTCAAAGACCTTTTACTTACTTTTAAATCATTAAATGGCCAACGACCTCTGTATATAGCAGAGATGTTTGAAACGTTTCACCCTTCAAAATCACTTAGGTCAGCAGATAAATCCCAACTGGTACAACCCAGAGCCCGCACCAAGCACGGAGAGGCTGCCTTTAGCTGCTATGCGGTCCGTCTCTGAAACTGTCTTACAATAGACATTAAGACCTCTCCCACCATTTCCATTTTTAAATCCAGATTAAAAATTAAACTTTTTCATGATGCCTTCCATTAATCTATCCTTGCATCTGTGCTCTACTAGGTCTTTATCTGTACTGTGTTGAATTTATTCTATATGTATTTTATATGTATACCTATTCTGTGCTGTTTTATCGTGTATTATTGTGTAATTAAAGCGATTACTTGTAATAAAGTGTAGTTGTTGGGTAAAGCAGTATATACTAGGAATGATTAATAAAAATAAAAACTAGAATTGAACCTGAGTTACATGGTAATAACGGAATAAGAACTCGGAAACAATAATACACTAACTTACTAAGTAATTACCATGTAAGTACTAAGTAATTAGAGGACTGTAAAAGAAAGCGCTACCAATAATTGTACTTAATATGCTTTTATTTTTGTGTGCTATGTTCTGTGTCAATGTTCTTTGATTTTATTTTACACAACATGATGTGACATTTTAACTATTTCATTTCACTTGTGATTGTTTTAACTATGTGAAGCACATTGGGCTACCGTTTTGTGTATGAAATGGGCTATATAATAAACTTGACTTGAGAGAGAGTTCACAATCATGTTTTGTTACTAAATGAGACACTCAGCTGAAACTGGGGGAAATATATGATGAATCTAAATCACAGGAGATGTCCAGAGTTTTTAAAGCTTGTGTTCATCATGTTGTGGGGGACCACAATGAGGCTACACTCACACCCAGTTCTTGGTACCACAGACGTATATATTGACTTGGGACTGTTTGTATGTAAATATTGTTGACTGCTTGGCCGCTTGATCAGAACCAGAAACGTATGTGTAACAGACCATCTGGGTGTTCAAGGGGCCGTATGTGGAGGGCCACACAGAGGCTACACTCACACCCAGTTCTTTGGACTGTTTGTATGTAGATGTAGCAGGACTGGTTGGTGTCTTAACCAGTTGATCGGCCAGCCTATCACACATATTAATCAAACCAGCCCACCATTAAAACATATTACAGATGATAACAACTCTACTGCTTGTACTATAAGATTAATGCACACAATTTAATTTAAGATATTTAACTGCATGTGTGCGCGTGTGTGTTTGCACTGAATGTGTTCTTGCACGTGGTTCACACGTGCGAACATCAACAAAGGAGAAATTCACCGAAAGAAAGCGAACTGACTACATATTCATTTGGTACAAGCATGCTCGCTCTTGGCGGCTTTCGCTCTGTGATTTAATCCCAAAAGGGACAATTTCCTTCCGTCATATCAAGAGAAGAAACAAAACACTTTCTAACACCTTAAGACTTTTATTTACCTGTTCAGTTTTGGCGAGGTGTGCTAGCGGCAGCAGGAGTATCCGGTGTTGGGGTTATTGGGTAGCGAACAATTTGTAACCTTTTACTTACGTTTTGGATTCTTCAATAAATTCTGTAAATATGGGAATATTTACCGATGTATTAATTAAGATACTCTTTAGGTATCCCGGGGCACCACCCCGTTCTACCGTATCAGTCTTTCTTGAAGTTCGTAGAATCCTAGGGGCAGAGACTTCGCATCGACACAACAAATCTACTGGAGGCAAAAATCTGAATTTTATAACATTTAATTAAACAATTTGTCAAATGAATAAACAATGAAATAAATGAATAATAACCATGTGAAACAATTTGACCCAATATGTGTCTTTAGCTTGAGCCCCCCCCAAACACTAAAAACACGTGTGTGTGTGTGTGTGTGTGTGTGTGTGTGTGTGTGTGTGTGTGTGTGTGTGTGTGTGTGTGATGAATGGGTCTTTGTTTCCCAGAGTAGGTGCGCGCGTGTGTGTGTGAGAGTGTGACCTTCCCCTCCCTCGCATTCCACAGGAGACCTGGATGTGTAAAGTTTTTCAACTTTCCCGAACACTTAGTGGCTTAAAATCACAGTAAAACTTAAACTTAAACACTTCAAAAGTTAACAAACAACAAAAGGTCACTCCTAGGCAATATCTAATGATCTGTTGAAAGTTGTGGCCACAGCTTTCAACACATAGACATTAATAAAAGAAACGACCTTACTTCACGGTAATCCGGGTGGCGTTTTGGTCCGGAGATAGAGAAAAACACGAAGCTACTTTTAAACGATCCGCGGCGATCGCTTACTTTGGTCTAGAAGAACAGGAAAGATAAAAGTTTAAATGAAATAAAACTTGCAGGAGCAAAACCTCTGAGCGAAGGCAAGGCGTCCCTTGTGTTCGCTGGTCAGATGTGATTTACGCTTCTCCGTTGTTTCTCCGCACGAGTGTTTCTCCAACGGGCTGGACACAAAGAGAACGAAGTTTCTTTTGTGCAGTTTGTAACTTACAGCGTGAGCTGGATGGAGCTGGAGTTGAGCAGAAGAGAGCAGATTTTGGGTTTCCAAACCCAGCTTTTCCAGCAGTTCGGTGTCTGGTCTGCTCACGTTGATTCGAGCGTGCGATGAGCGTCCTTACAGCCAGTGATACTGGACAAAGAACAGTTAAGTTTCGTTTTCGTCTCCCTTTTATAGAGTCTGGCAGTTCGCGGGCTGAGACTGTTGTGAACCCGTGCTCCGCCTTGGTGGTGATGTCATCACATTGCTTCCGTGTGCAAAGCATCATGGGAAATGAAGTGTCTTGGCGCTGATGTGATTATTTGCTTTCAGAGCAATTAAGCACAGTCTTTTTGGAGAAAATTACTGCAGCAATTTCTCACGAGGGCATACCCTCAACACCGGGATGTAGTCCCGTCTGTTTCTTATTAAACAAACATGATTCGGAACAGAAAAGATGCAGAAATCAGGCAAGGGGCGTAGCTCACTAAGCGCCGACGTCACGTTAGTTCCGTAGGAACCACAGAAAGTCCCAGCCTCAGGCTGTGTCTCAATTCAGGGTCTGCATCCTACTTTCTTTTCTTTTTTTTTTTTAACAAACTTCATTTGTTTTCGTCACAAATACATAGTCACACTAACAAACATACATCAAATATACACACGAACAGACATCAGCTCATTAATCGACAAGAGGCACATAACAGATAATAGAACCTTCCAAAAGGTACATTTTTTTGATCTTCTTTTTTAACTATATTCTTGAATCTGTCTGAATTAATATGAAGTGTGTGTTCCTAAGGTCGTATTAAATCAAATATTCAAAGACCAATAAGATTGATCATTTATAATTAGATGGAATATCACATCTTATTGATCATTCAGTAAAAGTAACCACTTCCATCACGTTACACCATCAGCATGGCTCTACACTTCATCCTGCAGCATCTGGACTCCCTGGGTACCTACACCAGGATCCTGCCAGAAGCAGAAACAGCTGGAGTTAGCAGGTCAGATCCACGGTGTGTAAAGTCCACTCATGGAGGGAACAGGAAGGGAAACCACTGAAGAACCAGGATAAACAGACCCGAGGAAACATGGACGGAGACACGGCGCTGCCCCGTGGCCAGGCGGGAATGTGGAAACGGACCTGTGGCTATTCCAAACACAGGCGCCATCTTGTTAGCGGCCAGAAGCAGAGTATGGGTGGGATGAGGCTGGCCCATACTCTGGAACAGCAGCTGCTATGTGTGGACTCTCATGTGATTTGTTTGTTTACATTTGTAGTAAACCTTTCTCCAGTCATCATGACTAAATGATTTAGGTTTCTTCTGGACGTTCCTGCATGAGTCTACATGTTGCTTCACTCTAACACATTTCTTATGAACCAAACAGCCTGAAGACCTGACTGCTGGATGACTCGTCGCCCTCACGTGTCTCTGGAGAGACCACTTGTGAAGAACTTGTTGACAGACTTACCATCTGACTCAGAAGACCTGCTCTCATTCCAGTCATCATCTTCATCTCCAGTTTCAGACCCAGAGTCCAGATTCACATCATCATCATCATCTTCATCTCCACTAACTTCAGTCTCTGAAGAATCAGATGTTTGTTCATGAGGGTTCAGATCTGGGTTCCTGCTAGTTCCTGCTCCTCCACCAGTTTCTGCGGTCATCTGGTCAGCTGAGCTGCTGGTTGGAACATCTCTGTCTTCTATTTGCTGCTGATGAAGCTGTGAGACCAGAGGTTTCTCTTCATCATCCTCACTCTTTATAGAAACAGCAGTAACAGGAGACCCGACAGCTTCAGTCTCCTCCTTCAAACAGAGATGCTCTCCCTCCAGACTGGTCCAGAGCTCCTCCTGTTCCTCCTTTATGTGGAGGTGTTCTGGGTCCTGCTGGTCCACACCAGCACTCTGTTCTTCAGGATCTTCTTCTTTAACCAGCACCAGCTGTTGAACATCTGTAGGAAACACAGACACATGATGTTACACACCACCATACCTTTATATTTACACCACGAGTGATACCGGCTACATGATGTGGGGAAAAGGAACAAGAACATGAACTTCATTTAGATAAAAACAGATTTCTACTTTAGGATCAATAAAAACTTCCATCACAATCAGCGTGTTTGTTTCTGACCAGAACTTCTAAGCCTCCTACTGTCAAGTGTTTTCTTCCACTGTGAGGTGCCGACACTTGGAAAGAGCAGACTTTGGATTTCACTCAGAACAATTTATTTGACCAGTACTGAGATCGGTCCGGGTTCAGGAACCAGTCAGGTGGAAAAGCTTTAAATAACAAAAATAAACATGTAACTAAATCATGCAGATAAACTTCAATGCTGTTACAGGTAATACAGAGCAAGGAGAACACACCAGCATCTTTAGTAACCTTCAGTTGGGCGTCTAGTTTTAGACAAGTACTATTCTATCTGCTTTTACAAGTACTGGCTGCTAATTCAGAGATGAATCATTTCACAATGAAGCAAGGATGAAAAAAGACTGATTTTACCAGACAAATAATTAAATACATGAATACATCTGTTTTCTGCCTTAACTTGCTTTCATTTAATTTACTATTATTCCTGCAGTCATTTCTGGCACTCCAGACGTTAACACACTTCCTCTCAGTAAATGCCATTCACACCCAGACGGATAAAGAGTCCATATAAAGACGTGAATCCAAGAGCTTACCGACAGCCCGTCAAGATCAAAGTCTTCCTCCTCACAGTGTACCCATTTGTGTTCGCTCTGCACTCCTCTCAGTCTGCCGCGCGCTGGGCAAAAGCTTGTTGCAGACATTTTGGCTGTACTTCATTTCCCCCGAGCACGAGCTCTTAATTGCCTCAATTCTGCTCACCTGGCGAGGCGCGCGCCGGAGCGCACGCAGGTTCCATCTGCGGTCACGCGCTGGCAACGCGCAACGGAGTCAGCATGTAGGGAAAGGATGAGGAACAATAGAGAGGGGCAGCCACACCTCTAAGGTCAGCGCAACACCTACTCACAAATCATTCTTTAGATCTGAAGCTGATGTGAGGAGAAACGTCTCCAAGATCAAATCAGCAACTATTCAGTCAAAAGGAAAATGAATAAACACTTAGATGTAGCTGCTGTCAGTAACAACCTTTAACTTTGAAGCTCTCAGCAGGCTAAAGCACTACAAAGCAAAGGAACCTTACACATTAGCATTTTGGGAGATTTATTGTTGTTATTATATTATTATAATGATTATTATTGTAGTTGTTATTATTATA